GTAAGAGAAAAACTTTCTCTTCCTTTCTTCCTGTGTCGTTGATGCCCAGACTGCGCATGCTCCAGGCACTTCTCTCTGTCCGCTTGCTAAAACGACACCGGTTGCGGCCTCTGCCATCTGCCGAGAGCTCAGGGTCCCCACACGCTCCCCTGCCCAGGAGAGTTTGAGAGCAGCTGGCCCAGACAGTCCGGCTGGGACAGTTTTCATTTTCTCTCCCAGAACTATCAGGAGCAGAATCTTAAGCTTGGTGGAATTCAGACCTAAGTCCTCTGCGAATGTGTTTCTCCTGCAGCTACGGGTGGGAAGGAGAGGGTTAGAGGCCGGCGTGCGCTCTGTGTGCGCTCTGCGTGCGCTCTGGGTGCGCTCTGCGTGCCCTCTGCGTGCGCTCTGGGTGCCCTCTGCGTGCCCTCTGCGTGCGCTCTGCGTGCGCTCTGGGTGCCCTCTGCGTGCGCTCTGCGTGCGCTCTGCGTGCGCTCTGCGTGCGCTCTGGGTGCCCTCTGCGTGCCCTCTGCGTGCGCTCTGGGTGCCCTCTGCGTGCCCTCTGCGTGCGCTCTGCGTGCCCTCTGCGTGCGCTCTGCGTGCGCTCTGCGTGCGCGTGGAGAGCGGCGAGGCAGAAGGCACCCCGCGGAGGCTCTCAGCTTTCACACGGCTTACGTGGGAGATCGGTGACTGCGGTGGATGACTCTGCTTTGGGATTCTTTTTCCCTGTTGACGTTCTTTCCTATTTCCGTCACTCTTTAAAGAGTTCTGTGTACTGTTATGCCTCAGCAGGAAGGTGAGATGCTTGATATTTCAAGCGTCCAGCCTTGTCGGGGGCAGCACACCCAGCACCTGCGCCCTCGCCCCGGGCCTGGAGCTCTCCAGCGAGGCCCGTCCGTGCCCCGTGGTGCTGGCCCGCAGGGCTCCAGAGTCCTTTGTCAGGTTGTTTCTTTCTTAGTTTTACTTCCAGAAAGGATTCTGGGCAGCTTAAAGTAAGAGGACAGATGTAGTGAGACCAAAATGCCATTACCATGGAATCACAAAGGAGGAAACTGTGAGAGAAAATTATATCAAAACAAACAAAGGAATATTATATGAGAAAAGCTATCAAAGCCTAGCTCCGAGCGTCCTGATAGCCAAGGCACAGAGGCAGCCATGACCAGCTATGCAGCTCCCACTGTCTGGTGGGAGGAGGGAAATTAGTTTATCAGGGGAGGCAAAGATGTTCCTGGGTCTTACTCCAAGAGGAATTCGTTACGAGGGTCCGGTGGCCCTGCACCATGTGCCCCACAGGCCACTAGACTGTCCTGACAACCAGGCCTGCCGCAGCGCCCGACATTTGTCAGGTGCTCACAGCCTGTCCAGGAAGTGCACGAGGGAGCGGCCGCTGCTGCGGGTTTCCCCAGACGAGCAGTGAGGGTCTGACATCACCACCTGTTTGCTGCTGAGGGCCTGGCACTTGCTGGCAGCAGGTCCCCGTGGCAGCAACCTGAAGAAGTCCCATTTTGAAAACACCTGATGCTAAATGTGAAGAGACTGATTGGATTGTCTTTTTTAAAAAAAATAGCATGTATTATTACAAGATTCACACTCAAAAACTTATTTGTAAAGGATTAGAAGTAAAAGAATGAGCCAGGCGCAGTGGCACACACCTGTAGTCCCAGCTACTTGGGAGGCTGAGGCAGGGAGATTACTTGAGCTTCGGAGTTCAAGACCAGCCTGGGCAACATAGCAAGACCCTGTCTCTTAAAAAAAAAGAGGGATACTAAAATCACAAATATACGGAAAGCAGGAGTGGCAATACTAATATCAGATAAGGTGGAAGTTATGGTTCAAAGAAATGAATAGAATTAATAGTATAAAAAAGGGACACTAATTCATGAGGAAGGCATAAATTTAATTAAGCAGTTTTAGCATTCAAAAACTGAAGTGTATTGAGCAACATGGCAATGCCAGACACCTTGATGAAATACAGGTATGGTAGGTGATTTGAATATGACTCTTGAATAAGACATATGGATCCAAAAATAACCAAAAAGTACATAAAGTAATTGAATAGTACAAACAGCAAACTTTAATAGCTATATGAAAAAAAATTGTGTCTTTTGAATCAGTTTTTCACATGTTCATAAAATGTTTATGAAAGTATTTATATGTCTACAGAGAACTGTAACAAATCAAAGAAGTCTGATATTTCCAAACGGCAGTGCTGGGAAGGACACACGTGTTAGCATCAGACAGCTCTGAGTTCAAATCCCAGCTCTGTCTTTGGGCAAATTAGTTAAATTTTCTGAGTCTCTATTTTCTAGTCTTTAAAAGAAAAGATTTGTACCTCCTGAGGTTACTTTGAGGAAAAATAGCATTATGATTGTGAAATCTTTTTAGAGGCTCCGTAGCATGGTTCCCACATGAGTAATTATTTAGAAATCAAGTCCCCACCGCCTCTCACTTTCATAGACCTGGCCGCTGAATGAGATGGCACATTCCAGTGTGTGCTTTTGCAAGAAAAGACTGGTGGCTGCCACAATCTCAGTTCCTGTTAGCAGTCCCAGTATAATTTTTGGAAACTAAAATACATAGGTTCAAATCTTTACAGCCCCATGTATTTGTTGTGTGATTTTGGGCAAGTTGCTTGACTTCTCTGAGCCTCATCTGTAAAGTGGTGACAATGCCGCCCACCTCCCAGAGTTGCCTGGAAGATGGGAGAATGTCTGCAGAGCAGCCGGCACGCGGAGTGCGTGCAGATGGAGCGGTGAAGGGTTTGTTGCTGTGAAAATCTCCAGTGCCTCCATCAGAGCTCCAGGGGGGGCAGCAGGAAGAGCCCAGTGGTGCTGCCTTTGTGGCGTCCCCTGCACTCTTGGCTGTCCTGCCAGCCCACACACCAAGGCAGTAACACTAGAGCCCTGCACCTGAGAGGTTCTGTGCAGCCCATCCCCACTTTGCACTTGGAAGATGGGGGTGGACTCCACTTCCCCTGCTCTGGACCTATCTGATGTGCCCCGCCTTCACCTGGAAGATGGCTCATCTGCCTCCTGGAGTCTCTGTCCTGTCTCAGAGCCTGGACATCAGAGGAAGCTGATTTGGCTGCTAGGAAGTGAGTTTCCAGTGGTCCAAGGGGAAGGAGGTGGCCTGGGAGTTTTGGCGGCCTGTGATGCAGGCCCATGGCACTAGGGGGCAGCATTTCTCTTCCCATCAGATGGGCGGGCGGCAGGACCTCCGCACACAAGGGGGTTCCTTGGCCAGGACAGGTGCACCTGAGGAAGCCAGTCTGAGACTGAGAAAATGTCTCAAAAATTATTCTTGGAAACTCCTAAGAGTTCTTCCGTGAAGCAGCAGAGGCAAGAGGCCATGGAGAGGACCCGGCTCAGGGTCCAGGGCCAGGATCGGTGTGAGGCAAGTGAGGCGCTAACCAAAAGACACAGTCATCAAGACATTTTAATGCAGTATTGTTAGAAATCCAAAGTCATGCAAGAGATTCCATCATGAGCAAAATATGAACAATTTAAAGACCAGTTCCGACGCCTGGCCTTCGCGCTTACCCCACTCGTGAGCCTGGGCCCAGCCTGGTGAGCCTGGCTCTGGGACAGCGGGAAGGTCTGGCTTCACTCCGAGCCGCAGTTTTCCTGTGAAGACGAAGGGCTTTGGACTCAGAGCTCTCTGAGGTCTCTTTCTGCTCCTGAGCTCTTTGGACTGTCACGGGCGCCTCACTGACTACTACCGTGCTGTGCTGAGACTGTCCCGCTGGGACAGACCACGGGTTAAGTGTACGACCTCCCCTGCAGCTGTAGAACTCTCTGTGGAACTTTGACCCCTGTACCCAATTCCAGAAGCACTGGCCAGGAACCCTGACCCCATTTCAGACCCTGTACCAGGTGCTGGGGATCCCGGTCCTGGGCATGAACGAGACATTTTCTTCAAGGGGCTCCGTCCACTGTGGGCAGCTGCTGCAGCACCGCAACAGTGTGGCTCATGGTGCAGATACCAGGTGCCGGAAAGGGGCAGGGGCTGAGCAAGAGAGGGACTGATTGACTGCTGCAGCAGCTCGATGCTTTACAGCGTGGGACCTGCACAGAAGTGTGCAGGGTGTGTGGAAGATGTTTTCAGGTGGGCAGAAGGAAAAGAGAACTCCAGGTGTTAAGGGTCGCAATGCACTGAAGTGGCTGGTGAATGCCGTGGGCATCTGAGACAGGTGGCAGGGCCCTCAGCTTCACAGCCCATGAGTGTCACCCTGTGAGTGTCACTGTCAGAGGACGGCTACTCTGTAGGGTGAGCTTACAACACACACGGCTTTGTGCCACAGGCTGCCTTAATTCTCAAAACAGCCACACACAGAGCTGCTGTTAGTGCCATGGCTTGGGGGGAGGTGGGACGCCCCCACCCCTTGTCATGGAGTGGATGGACTTTGACTCGCACACACAGCTGTGTGCACCAGTGCAGCTCTGGGAATAGAGGAGAAGTTCCACGAGACAGTGCCTAGCCCAGGAAACCGTGGCCCATGCTTTCTCCCTGGGCATCTTGCAGGGGACAGAGGGCCCAGGGGACTCCTTGAGCGCTGGGGACAGCGGGTTCTAGGAGCTGCACTAGGAACCCACTGGTCGAGGGGCAGAAGCCCCACAGATCAGCCACCCGGTTCCACAGAGCGCAGCATGAGCAAAGGGAAGGGTGCTGAGCAGCGCCGCGGTCCACGTCAGCTGCAGAGCGGGCACCTGGGAGCGGCTGTCAGAGGGGGTCAGAGTTGACCAGACAGGCCGGGTCAGCAGAGGCCTCCCCGCGGCAGGTGTCCGATGAGCAAACCCACCGAGCATGACAGCCACGGTCCCACAGGTGCAGCATCCTGATGTCCCCTTCCAGAGCCACCGCCGTCCCTCTGTCACCTATGCCCCACCTCTGTGCTGCAGCTGACATGCTCCTCCCCAGGCTGTGCGAAGACCGAGGCCACGAGGAGGGGTCGCGTCCTGGCCCCTGCCCACCCACCCTCTTGCCACCTGCCTCTTGCTGCCCACTGTCTCTTTCTCTTCCAGAATGCCAGCCTAGCCCCGTGTGGAGCAGACCCGGATGCCAGCTGGGGCATGCGAGGTACACGGCCCTGGGACCTGTGGGTCTCTGGCGGGGGCAGGGGTTGCTAGCAAATTTCCACAAGTCTCATTCTGAACCGCACCGGTGGGGCCTGCTGGTGAAAGGCGCCAGGTGCGGTGGGCAGGGGCACTGCCAGGGGAGGGCGTGCTCATTTCCCGCCTCTGCCAGGCAACAACCCGTTTCCTCCCACTCCTGCACTCCAGGGTGCTCTCCCTCCTGGCTGGTGTGGCACTCTGTGTCACTTGGGGAAACCAAGTCACAGGCAAAAGGCTTCCAGTCTGAGTGGAAGGGGAGCCGGGTCAGACCTTGCCTGCACCCTTGCTGGTTGTGCAGCTTCAAACTGGGAGGGCTGCTGGGAGGTTGGTGTTACTAGAGTGGCCACCTGGTCTCGTGCCAGTGCCTGGCCGGAGGCAGGGCTCACTCCCTGGTCACTCCCGAGAGTGACGGGAGCTTGGCTCTCGTGGACTGTTCGCACATGGGTGACAGAGCATTCAGGCTCTGTGGCTGTCTCCTTCTAAGTGGCCTTCCAAGTCCCTGGGCCTCAGAATCGGCACATCTGGGACCGCATGTGGGGAAACTCAGGGACTGGCCCCCACTCGGGGTCTCCCTCCTGAGGTGGCTGGAGGCCCAGGTCGTGGAGACCCTGCTTCCCATGGGTTCTGTGCACATGGAGGCCCTCCTGTCCATACTATTTTATTTTTTCAATAAGATGCATTTAGTCTGGAAGTAGAACATTTTAAAAGCAAGCGTGCAAAGCTCAGTAGTTTAAAAAGGAGGAAGGAGAGTTAAAAGGGTAAGACAGTGAGAGACAGAGTGTCAGACCACAGAGGGAGGTCAGTCTCCACAACACCCCACAGGTTTCCCAAGAACGCCCACTCACAGGCGGGAAACTGAGGCTGAGGAGCACAGGGCGCCATCAGCTTCCAGTCTGGCCTCCAGCCCGCCACGCCCTGCTCTGGGTTTCCTGCTGGGCCCCCGGTGCCCACCTCCTGCAGCCAAGATTAGAGCCCGGTGCAGGCTGCTCAGGGCTGGGCCTGGCCAGCGACTGCAGGGTGGGGACACAGGGCACCCAGGGTGGGACTGCGCCCACCTAGAGAAGAGTTCTTGCACTTTCTAAACGGCCGTGGTCTCGCTCTCTCTCTTACAGAATACAAGGTAAGAGGGGCCGCGCTCTCACACTGACCTGTCCGTGCCGCGCCGCGCCTGCCCAGGTTAAAGTTCCTTTCTGTTGTGCTTTCCCTGTGAAATGTGTGTGTCAGATGGAACGCAAGTATGTATTCCCAGGTGGCCTCTGCTCAGCTCTTGGGCGCCAGCGCACACTCGCTTCTCGGGATAACTGTGGTTTCCTCCCCGACAGATCTACCCTTACGACTCCCTCATCGTAACAAACCGAATCCGTGTGAAACTGCCCAAAGATGTGGACCGGACGAGACTGGAGGTAGGAACTGGGCCCTGGGGGTCTCTGCAGATGCCTTCTCCACACTGTCAGAGGCACCGCCCGAGGGCCCCGTGGGGACCGAGTTAAAGACCGCGTTGCTTCAAGGGCCACAGCAGTGATGGCTTGGCAAGGGGCACACCGGCTCTGGCCGGGCCGGGAGGCCTTTGTAACAATGACACGCTCCACGGAGTCGGCTCCTCTGAGCGCTGGCGCGGAGGAACCTGCTCCGGCTCCCGGACGGCCACAGCCGCCTGGCTTCCTCCCACGTGGCCACGTTTTCGCCTGTGTAGAATGATCTGAGGATCCGTGGATAGCAAGTGTGTGTTTAAAAGTCCAAACACGTGGTCAGCACAGAGTAGGTGTTTGAATAACATTTGCTGACTTAAATGACTAGCTCTGTTCAGTACCTACTGTGTGCCCAAAGTGCCATGTGTGCCACTCTTTTTAATGGTTCAATGTCCAGCCTGTGGGATCTCCTCTCCTGAGCCCTTTCATGGTGTGTCCCTGCCTTTTAATGACTCTTTTGCTGAGGGTAAGAGGTCTCAAGGCTCCTGGAGGGCAGGGCCATCCGGCCCCATCTGGGCCTCAGGGCTGGGGCGTGTGTGAGGCCCCTGCATGCACAGGGCCAGCTGCCAGACCTGCCTGACCTGCCCGAGTGCGCAGGGCTCAGCCTGCTGCCAGGAGAGGAAGCAGAGGCCAGACTCAGCAGGGCCCCAGGGCTCAGGGGTCTCTAGGAGGAGTCTGGGGAAGCATTCCAGGCCAAGGGAAGCCCTGTTAAATGCTTGGGGGTGCTGGGCAGAAAGGCACCCCAATGGCATTGAGCAGGCACCAACTTTCCTGCACTAGCTGGCTATCTACTCTCATGCCTCGATCTCTACACCTTTGAGATTAGGATTTGGGTATTTATTCGAGCAGGTCGCTGTTCAGGGAGAGGTCAAGAGGTTTTGGTTGTTTTGTTTTGTTTTGTTTTTATTTCGGCATATTATGGGGGTACAAATTTTAAGGTTTCAATAAATGCCCTTTCCCCCCTCCCCCCACAAGTCTTAGTTTCCAGCCTGACCGTCCCCCAGATGGTGCACATCTCACTCATTATGTATGTATATACCCGCCCCCCTCCCCTCCCCCCTGCCCAATACCCTATTACTGTAGTACCTATGTGTCCACTTAGGTGCTGCTCAGTTAATACCAATTTGCTGGTGAGTATATGTGGTGCTTGTTTTTCCATTCTTAGGACACTTCACTTATAGAATGGGCTCCAGCTCCAGCCAGGAAAATATAAGATGTGCTATATCACCATTGTTTCTTAGAGGTCAAGAGGTTTTGTGAAGCCCTTTACCCAGGGCCTGGAAAATAGCACTCTCAGTACAGGGTAGTGGCAAGGAGGAAGGGGACCAGGATGCTGGTGTGGCTGCAGCACTGGGAAGAGGTGTATCCACTTTGACCCTCTTTGTTGTGAATGACAGGAACCTGGTCCAAAGTGACTTGCTGGCTCTCATGACTGAAGGTCCCCTTTAGGTGTGGCTTGATCAAGGGCTAAATGATGTGTCCAGCACAGTTTCTTTCCTTCCTTCTCTTCACTGTTCCTTCTTGGTGCTGCTCCATCGATAGCTAGACTTTTGCCTTACCTCTCTCAGGCTCTAGGTCTGTAGGGCAGAGTCCCGTCTCTCTCTCTCTCTCTCTCTCTCTCTCTCTCTCTCTCTCTCTCTCTCTCTCTCTCTCTCTCCTCTCTCTCTCGGCCTCTGGGTGGGTCATATGACTACCCCTGGAACCCCTGGTCTGACCCAGGGGATGTCGTGCCCCAGCTAGCCAGCGTCAGCCCCACGCCCATGCCGGGAGCTACCTGAGCTGGGTGTTGGCTACTAGAGGAAGCTAGTAGCCAACTAGAGGAGACCTGGCACCTGAAGATGGGGAAGAGGATGCTGGGCAACAGGCAGGCAGCAAGTGAACGCCTGCAGGGAGGGGCAGGTGAGACCCAGGGGGAGGGGCGACAGCACAGCAAGCTCTGGACTGCCGTGGCCGGTCAGTGCCGTGGAACCATGGGCATGTGCTGAGCGCGCCACATGTGGGCCATTTGCTAGTGCATCATTTGTTTGGATTTTACCCTACAGAAGAGGAAAGTTCTAATGTGTTGGGATGTGTGTGGCCATCCATGGGAGGGGCAGCAGGGTCCGGCTGGGAAGCTGGTATGTGCATGGGGGAGGGGTGGAGGGAGCCCCCGGGCCAGGAGTGCAGATCAGTCTGGAATGTGTGCTGAGTGAGGGAACAGAGGAGGCCCCAAATCCAGCAGGACCTCTGTCTCCTCCTGAAGCCTGGGTCCTGGACTGCCCTGCCAGGGGTCACATCTGCCTGGCCCTGGCAGCCAGGGAAGGCGCCCACACTGGCTTTTTCTGCATGTAACTCCCGCACCCTAACTGCCTGCCGGGGAAGTGTTCTTCAGCGCCTGCCGCTGGGGAAGTTGGGTCCTTGTTAATTGCGCGTTCAATCCAGTGTAAACACCTCTGTAGTAAAATGGGTGCTTCTGGGTCAGAGCTGCCTGGAGGTATTTGCTGTGTTTGCCCTGTGCCTTTGTTCCTTGAAGGGTGTGTCCCCTGCGGATGCTGGAGTTAATTGCTCTCACCAAGAGGGGTGAGCTCAGACAAGGTGCCCCGCAGGTCCTGGCACAGCAGTGGCCTTGGGGCCAGGAGCCTGTTGGGACTCAGCGGCAGCCCTCTCGGGACTGCGGTGTGCTTTAAATCTGAGGTGCCCAACCCCAGCCTCCACCGTGCGCCACTACCTGAACTCTACACCCCCACACCCCTCACCCACACCCCACCCCTGGGCTGTAGAAAAATTGTCTTCCATGAAACCAGTCCCTGGTGCCAAAAAGTTAGGGACTTTAAATGACTTCTTTTTTACTTTTATTTTATTTTATTTATTTTTTGCTACAATACAGAATGAAAGTTGTAAAATACTAAGGGGTTAACATATGTAAATGTGTCCTTTTAAAAATCCTCTGACACCTGGGTAATGGGTTTAATCATTCAAATCTTCAAGAACACACCCAAGGGTGGGACACTAGTTCCTCCTCAAGCTGAGCCAAGCAGAGGGACTGGAAATGTTAGCACAGTGGGCCACATCCCCCAGCTTGGCCCCACCTGGGGCTGGGAGCTGGGACACCAGCCAGAGGGCTCAGGCCGCCTCCCAGCAGCAGAGGAAGGGACCCCTGATGCTTTTATTTCAGGGGAAAGAGCTTTATTTTTAATATAAAAACAATCCATAGCCATTGTAAAAGTCCAGTAAAATACAAAGAAGAACATAAGAATCTTGTGGAATCCCCCGACCCACTCCTAACTGCTAACTGTGGGGGACATGCTTCCAGAACTCTCTTTTTCACATGCACTTGATGATAGCAAATCCTATTTTAGATGAATAGGCTCACACTGTAGATACAGTTTGACATCCTGCTTTTTGCCTGCAAATTTGACATGGACATTTTCCACGCTGTTAGTGTGGATCTGCCCCACCTTTTGAATGGCCACGTGGTGGCCACTGGGAATGCATGGGAAGGTCCCAAGGGCTGGACTGTGGAATGACAGGCCGCACTTCAAGTCACAGCCATTGGGGAGCCCAGTCTCACAGTCCCCGTGGAGGCAGGCTGGAGAGCGCGCCCAGGACGAGGAGCAGAGGGTGGCGGTGGACCTCGGTGGAGTCCATACCTCTGCTGGGCCGGCCCTGGAAGGAGTTGTGTGGCCAGTGGTCAGTGTGTGGCAGCGGTCCTTACCCCCAGGTGCTCAGCCGAGTCGCCATTCACCCAGTGACCATGCGCCAGCGCCTGGAGGTGTCTGGTGAGCAAGAAAGGCCTGAGCTCTGCCTTTGGATGCTCAGTGTGACACGGGAGATGGACGCTATCCGCTCATAGCACAAATGAGTACACGTAATGTGCGCCAACACCAGGGCTCTCAGGGAGAAGAATATGAGCCTGTGAGCATTTAAAATGTGTAAACATTAATTGGGTGAAGTAAGCATGTGCACATGTGTGTGCATGTGTGTGTTTTGTGAGTGAGGTGAGGGATGGCAGGTAGGAAGAGAACTCTAGGAAGAACAAACTGCATGTGCAAATGCCCTGGGGCAGGAGGGATCCTTGGTTGTCAGAGGAAATGTAGGATGGCTGAGGCGTCTAGACCTGAGCAGGAGAAGGTGAGGACTGGCCAGGCCCAGTAGGGCCCTGGGCCATGTGACGCACTTTGGTTTTTAGCCTAAGAGCAATGGCATTACATTTAGGGACTATGTTATCAAGTATGTGATTTAAAACAACCCCTGTGGCTACACTGTGAAGCTCAGATTGGCTGTGTATATAGGGAGACCGTTTAGGGGCAATTTAGGTGGTAGGGGTAAGAAGTGATGGCATCCTGGACGTGGGTGGTGGCATTACTGAGGGTGAGACTTCTTTGGGAAGTCAAGGGGCGTGACTCGGTGATGGCCGTGCCTGGCAGTGAGGGGCGGAGCCTTCCAGCTGCGACTGCAGGCTGCCCGGGCGGGGTGGATGGAGTGGCATTCCCTCCACAGAGCAGGATGTGCCCGGACACCACTGACACTCTGGCCTGTGAGGCATGGCCGAGGGGACTCGGGGTGCTCAGCCTGGCAGCAGTGGGAGGTGCCATGGAGGTGCCTGGTCGCACGTAGTAGGACTCAGTCAATGTGGGTGACTTATGGAGGAGTATGGGGGAGCCCTGACCGTCCTCTCTGGTTCTGGAGGGGCTGTCACGTGGAGGGGCAGAAGGGCTGTGAGACGCCAGGGGGCACGGCAGGGGCTGCGGACACAACTCACGAGAGGCAGAGCTGAGATTCAAGGCGTCACCGGGAGCCACTGCGCTGTGCTGTCTGCTGCCCAGTTGCAGCATTGCAAAGACTTTCTGACGCTCGGGCCCGCGTCCGGCGTGCACACAGGCATTTGGCTCCCTAGGTCAGAAAGCGTGTCGGCATTGTTCTCCAGAGAAGCAGAACGGTCAGAGACAGACACACACACGCACAGATACACGTGAAGAAATGTATTGCATGAACGTGGCCCGTGCAAGAGTGTGGCTGCAATTCTGACAGCTGTAGCATCGGCCAGCAAGCGGGAGACTCAGCGGGAGCTGCCACGTTGCGGCAGTTTCTTCTCGGGAAACCTAAGTTTTACCTCATGGCCTTCAGCGGATTGGATGAGACCCACGCACGTTATCGAGGGTGATCTTTACTTAAAGTCAACTGCCTGTCCACAGCGCCCACATCTCCAAAATGCCTTGGCGGCAATTCCTAGACTACATCCAACCAGACAACTGGGCCCACGCAAGTTGACACTCAAAACGCAGCCGTCACAGGCAGCAAGGTGAGGGGCGGGAAACGGGCCTCTTGTCCAGCCCCCGTGTCCAGGCGAGCCCCTCGAGGTTGGCTGCCCCCGGGTTACACTCTGAGACCTTCCTGCGTGCTCAGGCCGCCTCTCCACTCCCGGGCTGAGCACGCACCCAAGTGTGCTCCAGCAGGCAGAGCCGGTTCTGGGACGCACCGGAAAAGTCAGGCCTGCAGCTAAAGAATGCCTCCTTTGTTTAAACCCGCCAGACAGGTCTGAGGAGAGCGCCACCCTGACAGACTGCTGGTTTAGGAGCCAGGTGGGTGTGCCTGCGGGGTGGGCTTGCGCCGGAATCCGGGACTCCGTGGCCTCCCTGGCTGGGACGCTGTGGAGAAACTCAAGCAGACCTGCGGCTGAAAGGAAGCACTGGGGTCCGGGGCAGCGGACAGTGCGGGCCAGAGGCCAGCTGGGCAGCCTCACAGGCCAGGCCAGTGGCAGGGAGGGCACGGGCAGTGCAGGAGGGGTCCTGGGGGCAGATGCAGATTCGCAGACACAAACAGACGAGGTGGACTGTCCTTCCCCTCAGTAAGGGTGGGAGGGTGTGGCCAGCAGACTGAACTGTGCCCACCCCACTTGTAGCTGAGAGCCGGAGGAGGGGTGGCCAGGTCACAGTGCCCTTCTCCTGGAGGGTGCCTGTCACCATTCACAGCAGCTTCAGAAGCCACCAGGAGCTCCTGCCCACACAGCCCATGGCACCGCCGGCAGCGCCAGGGCCTCCAACACCCACACCCTCACCCTGCTGTCCTTCCCTGCCCTCTGTCCTCTCCGTTCAGCCACCAGCTCCAAGCCATCCCTCGGGAGGCTCCCGTGGTGTGGCACAGGCAAGGCTGCGTCCTCTCCCCTGCAGCACGCAGTGCGCGGCTGTCTGCCGTCCGCTCCTTGTCCTCCTCCTCCATTGCGGTGACCAGCAAAGACTCAACCCTGGTGAGACCCAGCAGACCACTGGCTTGCCCCTCTTCCTCCCTTTAGACACACGGTCACAGGTAGCAAGTGCACTGGGCACTGCTGGGATCCTGCTGTGCCACCTCACTAGGACCTTCCTGTCACCCCCGTCTGCCACCTCTGTGCCCGTTCCCTGGCCTCAGACCCCACCGTGGGGAGGAAGGGGCCTACATGGCAGAAGGCAGGGCCAATGTGGCATGGGCCCCGCTCGTACTGGCGCTGGGTCTGGATTCTCCCCACGCGTCAGCCCTGTCCTTTCTCTTGTTCACTCCATGCCTGCTAAGCGCCCCCAGCCCACCCCAGCCAGAGGCAGTGTTGGAGCAAGGTCTGGCCTGCCACAGGCCCTCAGTCAGCATTCGCTGGGTAGCGGTAGGAAGGATCTCCTCACATGGCTCCTTTGATCTCACTGTCTTGACTGTGATGCAGAAGGTGGCGATTGGTACCACAGGTGCAGGGCTGCAGACTTGCACGACACACCTAGTGTCTTAAATGTATGGAGAGACACAGTCTGGAGTGGTGACTCTAAGTCTCTGTGGACTGGGTTGTGGATTTCTCAGCACACCAAGAACCCCCAGTCTCAACACCATGCAAATGGTTAATTTCTGGCAAGCACCAGGGTTCTTTTCCTGTTTTCAAACTTGAGATAGCAGCAGGCAGCTGAGGGCCTCTTCCTGGCAGAGACTTGCTGGATGCGCTGTGTGTGACTGTGAGTGTGTGTGTGAGAGTATGCGTGTGAGAGTGTGAGTGTGTGTGAGAGTGTGTGCAATAGTGTAAGTGTGTGCGTGCATGTGAGTGTGAGAGAGTGTGCATGTGTGTATGTGTGTGTGATGCATGTGGGTGAGTGTGAGAGTGTGTGAGTACATGTGTGAGTGTGGGTATATGTGTGTAAATACATGTGTATGTGTGTCAGTGTGATTATACGTCTGTGTGTGAGTATATGTGTATGTGTCAGTGTGAGTGTATGTGTGAGTACATATCAGTGTATGTGTATGTATGTATGTGTGAGTGTGAGTATATGTGTATGTGTCAGTGTGTGTGTGCTTGAGTGTATTTGTGTCAGTGAGTGTGGGTATATGTGTCAATGAATGTGCATGTGAGTGTGAATATGTGTGGGTGTGTGTGAGTACGAGTGTATGTGTCACTGTGTGTGTATGTGTCAGCAAGTGTGTATGAGTATATGTGTCAGTGTGTGTGAGTGTGAGTATATGTGTCAGCGAGTGTATGTGTGAGTATATGTGTCATTGTGACTATATGTCAGTGTGTGTGTGAGTATATGTGTCCTTGTGTGTGTCTGTGTATCTGTGTCAGTGAGCACACACGCACAGATAACGTGAAGAAATGTATTGCATGAAGTGGCCCTCAAGAGTTGCTGCATTCTGACGCCGTACATCGGCCACAAGCGGCGAACTCAGCGGGAGCTGCCACGTCGGAAAGTTCTTCTCGGGAAAAAAATGGGTGCTTCTGGGTCAGAGCTGCCTGGAGGTATTTGCTGTGTTTGCCCTGTGCCTTTGTTCCTTGAAGGGTGTGTCCCCTGCGGATGCTGGAGTTAATTGCTCTCACCAAGAGGGGTGAGCTCAGACAAGGTGCCCCGCAGGTCCTGGCACAGCAGTGGCCTTGGGGCCAGGAGCCTGTTGGGACTCAGCGGCAGCCCTCTCGGGACTGCGGTGTGCTTTAAATCTGAGGTGCCCAACCCCAGCCTCCACCGTGCGCCACTACCTGAACTCTACACCCCCACACCCCTCACCCACACCCCACCCCTGGGCTGTAGAAAAATTGTCTTCCATGAAACCAGTCCCTGGTGCCAAAAAGTTAGGGACTTTAAATGACTTCTTTTTTACTTTTATTTTATTTTATTTATTTTTTGCTACAATACAGAATGAAAGTTGTAAAATACTAAGGGGTTAACATATGTAAATGTGTCCTTTTAAAAATCCTCTGACACCTGGGTAATGGGTTTAATCATTCAAATCTTCAAGAACACACCCAAGGGTGGGACACTAGTTCCTCCTCAAGCTGAGCCAAGCAGAGGGACTGGAAATGTTAGCACAGTGGGCCACATCCCCCAGCTTGGCCCCACCTGGGGCTGGGAGCTGGGACACCAGCCAGAGGGCTCAGGCCGCCTCCCAGCAGCAGAGGAAGGGACCCCTGATGCTTTTATTTCAGGGGAAAGAGCTTTATTTTTAATATAAAAACAATCCATAGCCATTGTAAAAGTCCAGTAAAATACAAAGAAGAACATAAGAATCTTGTGGAATCCCCCGACCCACTCCTAACTGCTAACTGTGGGGGACATGCTTCCAGAACTCTCTTTTGCACATGCACTTGATGATAGCAAATCCTATTTTAGATGAATAGGCTCACACTGTAGATACAGTTTGACATCCTGCTTTTTGCCTGGAAATTTGACATGGACATTTTCCACGCTGTTAGTGTGGATCTGCCCCACCTTTTGAATGGCCACGTGGTGGCCACTGGGAATGCATGGGACGGTCCCAAGGGCTGGACTGTGGAATGACAGGCCGCACTTCAAGTCACAGCCATTGGGGAGCCCAGTCTCACAGTCCCCGTGGAGGCAGGCTGGAGAGCGCGCCCAGGACGAGGAGCAGAGGGTGGCGGTGGACCTCGGTGGAGTCCATACCTCTGCTGGGCCGGCCCTGGAAGGAGTCGTGTGGCCAGCGGTCAGTGTGTGGCAGCGGTCCTTACCCCCAGGTGCTCAGCCGAGTCGCCATTCACCCAGTGACCATGCGCCAGCGCCTGGAGGTGTCTGGTGAGCAAGAAAGGCCTGAGCTCTGCCTTTGGATGCTCAGTGTGACACGGGAGATGGACGCTATCCGCTCATAGCACAAATGAGTACACGTAATGTGCGCCAACACCAGGGCTCTCAGGGAGAAGAATATGAGCCTGTGAGCATTTAAAATGTGTAAACATTAATTGGGTGAAGTAAGCATGTGCACATGTGTGTGCATGTGTGTGTTTTGTGAGTGAGGTGAGGGATGGCAGGTAGGAAGAGAACTCTAGGAAGAACAAACTGCATGTGCAAATGCCCTGGGGCAGGAGGGATCCTTGGTTGTCAGAGGAAATGTAGGATGGCTGAGGCGTCTAGACCTGAGCAGGAGAAGGTGAGGACTGGCCAGGCCCAGTAGGGCCCTGGGCCATGTGACGCACTTTGGTTTTTAGCCTAAGAGCAATGGCATTACATTTAGGGACTATGTTATCAAGTATGTGATTTAAAACAACCCCTGTGGCTACACTGTGAAGCTCAGATTGGCTGTGTATATAGGGAGACCGTTTAGGGGCAATTTAGGTGGTAGGGGTAAGAAGTGATGGCATCCTGGACGTGGGTGGTGGCATTACTGAGGGTGAGACTTCTTTGGGAAGTCAAGGGGCGTGACTCGGTGATGGCCGTGCCTGGCAGTGAGGGGCGGAGCCTTCCAGCTGCGACTGCAGGCTGCCCGGGCGGGGTGGATGGAGTGGCATTCCCTCCACAGAGCAGGATGTGCCCGGACACCACTGACACTCTGGCCTGTGAGGCATGGCCGAGGGGACTCGGGGTGCTCAGCCTGGCAGCAGTGGGAGGTGCCATGGAGGTGCCTGGTCGCACGTAGTAGGACTCAGTCAATGTGGGTGACTTATGGAGGAGTATGGGGGAGCCCTGACCGTCCTCTCTGGTTCTGGAGGGGCTGTCACGTGGAGGGGCAGAAGGGCTGTGAGACGCCAGGGGGCACGGCAGGGGCTGCGGACACAACTCACGAGAGGCAGAGCTGAGATTCAAGGCATCACCGGGAGCCACTGCGCTGTGCTGTCTGCTGCCCAGTTGCAGCATTGCAAAGACTTTCTGACGCTCGGGCCCGCGTCCGGCGTGCACACAGGCATTTGGCTCCCTAGGTCAGAAAGCGTGTCGGCATTGTTCTCCAGAGAAGCAGAACGGTCAGAGACAGACACACACACGCACAGATACACGTGAAGAAATGTATTGCATGAACGTGGCCCGTGCAAGAGTGTGGCTGCAATTCTGACAGCTGTAGCATCGGCCAGCAAGCGGGAGACTCAGCGGGAGCTGCCACGTTGCGGCAGTTTCTTCTCGGGAAACCTAAGTTTTACCTCATGGCCTTCAGCGGATTGGATGAGACCCACGCACGTTATCGAGGGTGATCTTTACTTAAAGTCAACTGCCTGTCCACAGCGCCCACATCTCCAAAATGCCTTGGCGGCAATTCCTAGACTACATCCAACCAGACAACTGGGCCCACGCAAGTTGACACTCAAAACGCAGCCGTCACAGGCAGCAAGGTGAGGGGCGGGAAACGGGCCTCTTGTCCAGCCCCCGTGTCCAGGCGAGCCCCTCGAGGTTGGCTGCCCCCGGGTTACACTCTGAGACCTTCCTGCGTGCTCAGGCCGCCTCTCCACTCCCGGGCTGAGCACGCACCCAAGTGTGCTCCAGCAGGCAGAGCCGGTTCTGGGACGCACCGGAAAAGTCAGGCCTGCAGCTAAAGAATGCCTCCTTTGTTTAAACCCGCCAGACAGGTCTGAGGAGAGCGCCACCCTGACAGACTGCTGGTTTAGGAGCCAGGTGGGTGTGCCTGCGGGGTGGGCTTGCGCCGGAATCCGGGACTCCGTGGCCTCCCTGGCTGGGACGCTGTGGAGAAACTCAAGCAGACCTGCGGCTGAAAGGAAGCACTGGGGTCCGGGGCAGCGGACAGTGCGGGCCAGAGGCCAGCTGGGCAGCCTCACAGGCCAGGCCAGTGGCAGGGAGGGCACGGGCAGTGCAGGAGGGGTCCTGGGGGCAGATGCAGATTCGCAGACACAAACAGACGAGGTGGACTGTCCTTCCCCTCAGTAAGGGTGGGAGGGTGTGGCCAGCAGACTGAACTGTGCCCACCCCACTTGTAGCTGAGAGCCGGAGGAGGGGTGGCCAGGTCACAGTGCCCTTCTCCTGGAGGGTGCCTGTCACCATTCACAGCAGCTTCAGAAGCCACCAGGAGCTCCTGCCCACACAGCCCATGGCACCGCCGGCAGCGCCAGGGCCTCCAACACCCACACCCTCACCCTGCTGTCCTTCCCTGCCCTCTGTCCTCTCCGTTCAGCCACCAGCTCCAAGCCATCCCTCGGGAGGCTCCCGTGGTGTGGCACAGGCAAGGCTGCGTCCTCTCCCCTGCAGCACGCAGTGCGCGGCTGTCTGCCGTCCGCTCCTTGTCCTCCTCCTCCTCTATTGCGGTGACCAGCAAAGACTCAACCCTGGTGAGACCCAGCAGACCACTGGCTTGCCCCTCTTCCTCCCTTTAGACACACGGTCACAGGTAGCAAGTGCACTGGGCACTGCTGGGATCCTGCTGTGCCACCTCACTAGGACCTTCCTGTCACCCCCGTCTGCCACCTCTGTGCCCGTTCCCTGGCCTCAGACCTCACCGTGGGGAGGAAGGGGCCTACATGGCAGAAGGCAGGGCCAATGTGGCATGGGCCCCGCTCGTACTGGCGCTGGGTCTGGATTCTCCCCACGCGTCAGCCCTGTCCTTTCTCTTGTTCACTCCATGCCTGCTAAGCGCCCCCAGCCCACCCCAGCCAGAGGCAGTGTTGGAGCAAGGTCTGGCCTGCCACAGGCCCTCAGTCAGCATTCGCTGGGTAGCGGTAGGAAGGATCTCCTCACATGGCTCCTTTGATCTCACTGTCTTGACTGTGATGCAGAAGGTGGCGATTGGTACCACAGGTGCAGGGCTGCAGACTTGCACGACACACCTAGTGTCTTAAATGTATGGAGAGACACAGTCTGGAGTGG